GGCAGTCATTATAGCGAATTTCATTCAGATCCGTTCAGCTATTTGAGTGTCATAGAAACTTCTACATTTATAACTTTATAGACGGTTTCCTGTGGCTTTGCTCGTATGAGTTCCAATAAAAAGTATCTATCTTATGTGGTAATCAAAGATAGTACGTAAATATTCATTTTTTTTTATAATTAATAGATATTCGTTCTATCGTTTATGGGTGATTGAGTAATAAACATGTAAATCTTTAGAAACTTTCACATGGATAATTTAGTACGAGAACGATGATAGAACTACCCCAGTAGTGAGTGTAGTCGTGAGCATATTATTTATTTTATCTGCCATTAACTGTCCACTGCTGAATATAGCCTCCACCATAAGGGGGTTTTACTAGTAGTTGCCACGCTTGACAGGCAAGGCTTGACAGGGTTGGTAACCACAGTTTCGCTTTTGGTTATGTTTTAAGAGAGATACCGCTGCCCATCCCTCCATCATAAGCTCCCTTTGTCGCCTCTTACGACACCCACTGGATAGACAGGGGTGGCCTATTCTATGCCGGGATCTACACGGCTAATGTTATTTGTTTATTTAGCATTAATTGTATCTCACAGTTTCGCCAGCGTGAATTAGTAAGTACTAAAGTATTCTATATGCTAAATCAGGATATAACCTACCCGTTATATCTAATGTCATTTAAATCCGTCCAATATATATAAAAATATATTTGACATCCTCATTGCTAGCAATATGCCCTATTAGTACCTCCATTTCCCCCTGAAACCATCGTGAACAATTCTTGTTGAATTCGTCACAATGGGTTAACTGACTTGCTTCATCCTCATCTATCATCCTTCACTGGTTCCCCGCCGATGTACACCGATAGCGCAGGTGGGGTTACCATTCCATTATCACCCATTAAAAAAAATTCTTTTTGTGTGAAAAAGTAACAAACGTTCATCCATAGAACCGCCTGTACATCCTTACAAACTTTCGTATTATAATATTGTAATTTATAAATATTGTATAATAGGATTAACAGAATAATAGTAATTATTATTATAAAAATATATTTAGTCTCTTTCTGGTATCAATTAGTATATTTTGATTTCGATAATTATTGCAATCGATGGGGTTTACTCCCATGTATATTCTAAACTATAATAGTGTAGAGAGAAATATTTTATTGTTTGTTTATTTGTAATGAATAAACACAAGAACAACTTAATCCACTTTAAAAATTCTATCCTTTATAGAAAGCTACATTATCAGTGTGTAACGTAGGCTGTATATGTTTTCGAAATTCTATCTACTCATGCGAATCCAGGCCGGATCACTAGTCTTATATAGTTCTGTTACGGTTGAAATATGATAAAAACGCTATTTTTTTTACATATGCAGAACCCCAATAATCACACATGTATATCAACAGACTTCAACTTTAAACAGACGTAATTTTATTGTGAACAGGTTTTATACCTCGTCTTTTTTTCCATACATTTAGCAACTCGAGTTCAAAACTTTTTAAAACCATTACCTGAAGATACATTCGTTATAAGAACATAAATTTATACTACAACATTGTGGTTCTATTGCTGGTTTAATAAAGTTAAATATTACATTTAAATTAATAATAACGTCAATATATCATATTCGTGATGAATTCACGACTATTGGTTTTGGTATTTATATATTTTTCTTATCGATACTGTATTTAAAGATATGACATCACTTTAAAATCGCTGTCTGTCTCTTTCTTTTAATATTGATAGCTATGCTTATAAAATATTACATATGTTATTATGTATAAATAAATATTTATCTCAAATGACCTTTAAGATTATGTTATGAAAAATATGTAAAGTAATAAATATAATAACAATTGTTTTTCTTTATTATTATTATTTCGTACAATACTAAATCCATATAATAATATAATATAAGTCTTTAAGAAAAATAGTTGATAAACTATTTTAGTAAAATAGAATGTTATGAGTAACTAATATATACCTTCCAACAAATTGCATAGTAATTGACTTTTACTGTATGGAAGCATTTGAGCAGAATAGTAACAGTATTTCTTATTATAGTTATAAATATTTAAACCTTAAAACAGCATATTCCTTCTTAAAAGGCTGGCAGCATACCTACAATTTCGCCAGTGTTTCTTGTGCTTATGGACTCCGGTAATCACTTACTTAAAAAAAAATGAGCAATAAAAATCAATAGAAATATATTGCCATGTGGTCCTGGTATAGAATAGGCCACCTCTTCCTTTCCAGGGCGTATCGTAAAAGACGAAGAGAGAAGACGAATAAGGGAACTTAATAGTCAAGGGATGGGTAGCAGTATTCCTTTAAAAACATCACCAAAGCCTCCGGTTGATAAACCTGCCTGCTAAGCATGGTAACTACAGGCAAAACCCCCCAATAGGGGATGACCTATATTCAGCAGTGGACAGTTTTTTAACGGATGATAATGGATGATAATGGGTTACTATTCCATTATCATACATTAAAAAATTAATGGATGATAATGGAATAGTAACCCCACCCGCGCTATCGGTATACACCGACGGGGCACCAGTGAAGGATGATAGGTGAGGATGAAGTAGGTTAGTTAGCCCATCGTGACGAATTCAACAAGAATTGTTCACGATGGTTCCCAAGGGGAACCACGTGGAGGTCGACCTAATAAGGCAAATTGCTAGCAATGGGGCTGTCAAACTCCATTACTAACAATCCCTTTCCCCCCAAGCAGTGGACAGTTAACGGCTGATATGATGGTGAATAAATGAGAAAAATAAAAAAAATTAAAGTGATATTATTAACTTTGATAATGCTAGTTCATTGTGGGAAATGTATGTATGCCTAGTAAATATTTCCATAGTCACTAGTTCAAGCTGATATCCCATAATTCATTGCTATACCATAAAATACCGTTAACGTTCCACTGTTGGGTACAGATTTCTCCCCATAACTCATTAGGAGAGGACGAGGGAGAGGATTTATTTACTCTAATGGTATGTTAATAGTTCGTAATGTTGATTGCATTGTCAGTTTTTTTTAATGGGTGATAGTGGAATGATAACCCCGCCTGCACTATCGGTATACGCTGGCTGTGAGAGACGATACGAGTAGGTGACGATGAAACAGGGGGAGCCACGTGGTCAACCTGATAGTATGTACCAAATGTACATAGAATTTTACTGTGCATTAAAGTTTAAATAAATAAATAAATCGTTGCTCATTTTTAAAAACTTAGTTAAAGCCTACTACCTATCCTTATAATCACTTAGTCCTACGTATTTCCAGTTTTATGTGTGTTATATATATGTTATATATTTGTATGTATTTATGCGTATATATGTATATGTATGTATATATATATATATATATATATATATACATACATATATATATGTGTGTATGTATATATATGTATATGTTTGGTTGTATGTGTTTATTTATGTATGTATATGTATATGACTATGCTGTCACAAATAATTTTTTACAGATCTATTTTTTTTAACGCGCCACCTACCTACTTATGCTTTAATCCTTTCTACCCAAAGGTTGTCTGGAAGAGATTGCTTGGCAATAAAACCGCCTTTTGTACTACACTATACGTATTGAAAATTGTTTTAATAAATCATGTTATGTTGGTGCAATAAAGTGTTAAATAAATAAATAAATCACATTCAAGAGTAACTGCTTGTCAGTTTTTAAAATTTTGTAATATGTAAGTCTCAGTGCAACTGAATAGAGAATTCCCCGAGAATTGAAGCTAGCTGAATACAAAATGTATGAAATTATTATCTATTTGTATTCATATCACATTATATCCACAAGAATAAGTTAATGCATATGAATGAATACAATACATTTATACATTGTGCATACAATCTGCTTACATACCTAGCAAGTGCAGGTAATATTTATTTTCAGCTAACTTTAAATGAAAAACTTAAAATTTGTTGCTTTTTTTTTATGTGCATATATATATATATATATATATATATATATATATATATATATATATATATATATATATGGAAAGTGGTAACCGTCGCCTATAGACATGAGCATATATATATATATATGCGTTATTCCTCAGGTATATATATATATATATATATATATATATATATATATATATATATATATATATATATATATATATATATATATATATAACTGTAATACTTTAAAATCGAAAAAAAAGCAGTTTTGATTAATAATTAATGTTTGTTATTCTCGAAAGGGTTTACAGCCGTATAAATAACTTTGTACTTACAGGCTTTATTGGAAACATGTTATCATCATCAAGTCATAATACATTTAAATATTTATTTCTTTAATTTCAGACAATTAAAAATCGTTTAACAAAAATAATAAGACCAACGTGAAAATCCTTTTCAATTTAAAAAATATCATAAAAGTCGTAACATTGTAGATTTGACAATCGCTCAACAAACGTACATAAAGAAACAATCGCATTAAAAAATTTGTATTTTTTTAAATTAATTAAATATGGTAGAAAATTCACAAAAGAAACGTACGTAAAGTACATCAAATTATTTTTATATATGATCAATTCGTACTTGTCATTGTTTAGACATCAACGAGCGCACTCAATAATAGTGCGTTACCTACATACCTACTTTTCAATAACATATATTTTTTAAAAACAAGTCATTTTTTCGTGTTCATTTGTATTTTTAATGATTAAAGTTATTATTGAAATTGTGCTTATTAACAACTTTACCAATTCAAAATAAACGAAGAAATTAATGCGAGACATTGCAAAAAAGTGGACTCGTGCGCACGTTGAAGGCGATCGAGGTGGCAGTACGTCGTTTTTAATTTAAACAACATAGCTAACATATTATATTATTGTTGGTCAACCTTATTGACAAGAAATAAAGTTGAATATGGATAAATAAAATTCACATTCAACTTGCCGTCGTGAATGGAGAAGGCTCCAACTACCAGTCATTTGGGTAACCGCGTCAGTCTGCGACCAGCACTTGACGTTGCCGCACGCGTCTACGCCACTCTGTTATTGGCCGATTTGAATTTCGAACGTTCCAAACCGGCCAATCGCGTTCGATTGGACGTTTGATTTCTTTTTTTCGCGTCTACAGTGTGTTCCGTTAGTGTCTGTGTTTGTGACATTGCGAAGACCGTGTGTTGATGACATCAAATAGTGATCTTTTGTATTAGAAGGTCGGATATATTCTCACGTGTTCTGGTAAGAATTTTTGAATGAATTTATTTCTAGTTTTTTGTAATGGACCCGTGTATTTTTCTCACGAGAAACACCGTTTAGCCAATTGCATTTTTATAATATGATTCTTATGAATTGTTTTGCTCTTGTTGCAAAAATATTTTGTTTCAATGACACTTTGTGTAATTGTTTTTTAAATAAGTTGCAGTGAGTAGCATTATTGTCATTTATATTCAAAATATCAAGTGTATGTATTTGTAAGTAAGCGCTGAGGTATTTTACATCATCATTTTTATAATATGAACCGATCATTGTTAATACATTACTTTTTCCCGCGTAAAGTATCTTTTGTATTGAGTAATAATTATCTACTCATGTGTCAAATTTTATTAAAATCCATACATACATCCGTACATTACCAGATTTCAAAATTATAGAACTACTAGAACTATAATATTATTAATATATTTTTAGTTATATTTTTTTCTGTGGGTAGTTTAATACTTACTTTTTATGCTAATTTATGTTGGTAATAAAATAACGTCCATTTTAAAGTATTATATATTTCGAAAATAGCTATGAAAAAATGTAAATAGTTATAATAATTTTTACATTAATAACGATAAGGACGGTTGAATTAGGTATAATATAATCCGAGGATATGTTAATTTTGTATTAAATAAGAAAAAAAAATCATCTATACATCGACCAAATTGATACAATAAATGTTATTTATATCAATCGATTTCATTAACATAACATGTTTTACGATGGAAATATACAGGAATAAAATATTTTAATATCAACGAGACACTATTACGATAATTGTCGTACATTCGGAGGTACAGTCAGCGCCAAAAATCGATCTAAACATATCCAGATTTCCAAAACTCCGAAATATTTTTGCAAAGTTGATTACAAAGATATTTGTATAATTAAAAACTGGCGGCAAATTCGATTGAACATCGTATATTATTAGATAAAATTAATATACCTAATTAATTTTTACTCTTAATATTAATATTTATTTATAAACATCTACATTAGACAACTTACTCTAGTTCAGACAATTTACTGAAACAAATTTAAAATTTTAAATAAATAAAAAATTTAAGAATTTGTTCCAAACAAAATAGGGTCTTCAATCGTGACAAAAACAATACGAGAGGAATACAGTGACTCCTATCGTGGCAAATCTGAATTCGCTTAAAATAGTGCTATAAATAAGTACATCCCATTCGTGTTTCTGCCATGAAATAGTTATGCTTGCATGGCTGTGTTTCGATTTGTAAGATGAGATATGACAATGAAATTACACGGTACAGGGACACAACGAATTAGCCCTCAGGAATAGCAAAGCAAGAAGAATATTATGGACGACACAATATATTTTGTTATGTCCATGTTTATAGGCATCGGCGATATTTACTACTTTCCATCAAGTGGACTGTCAGCTTGTTTGTCATTCTAAGTTGCATAACAAGAATGAGAAAAAAAATTCTTAAAAATGATTTATTTTGTTTTGACTTTTGTAGCTGACTGTACCATACGTTATAAATAGTTTTATCCAATAACAATCTTCACAGATTGTTCGCATGTAGGCTTTTGTGTTCCACATAAAATTTTCTAAGTCGAACGGTTTTGTATGTGTCGAGCTTGCTTCACATGTAACCAGTTACTTGGCCGTTTGTATTAGAGCACGTTCAGTGATTTACTTTTACAGTATTTTTTTTTCATGGGTGAAAATGGAATGGTAACCCCGCCTGCGCTAACGGGATACGCTGGAGGAGCACCAGTGAAGGGTGATAGATAAGAATGAAAACAGGCCAGTTAGCCAATCATGATGAATTCATCAGAAATTAACCATGATAGTTTCCAGGGGGAACCGCGAGGAAATCGACCTGGTTAAGTATATTGCTAGCAATGGGATTCTCAGTCTCCATTACTAACAATCTCTTCCCCCCCCTTCCCCGATTTTTGAGTTATCTTTTTATGCATCTATAATTGGCAAACAAGCCGACGATCCACTTAATGGTAAATATTATATATGGGCATAATTAGCACTATAAATATCAGAGACTATGCTAGACGTGTATTTACCTCATGATCTCTCATGTGATACCATTGAAAACTAGGATATTATGTCCCTGTTTAACTTTTACTATCTACTTAGATTGCCTTTACTTGTTTAAGCCTTCTTCTTGATATTGATGTCACCCTGTATACTATATACTACTACTTAGTAACGTTCGTGGACGAAATGATAGTCGGGGATTAAGTCTAAGAATGACAATTAATATGGAAGGTTGTAGAACTTCTGGTAATAATAATAGTAGTCAATATACTAGTATTGATAATTGCATACATAATAATGGTAGCGGAATTAAACAAAATAATCACAAACAACTAATAATATGACATTTCGCAAAATAACACCTAATTCTGTGAAATAAATAAACTAAATTTTAAAGCTGTTATTGCCCAAAAAAGTCCTTATTTTTCTAAGGTCTACGTCTTTATTTTGTAGTACACACACATATCGATCTGTTTACATAGTGATTTTTATATATTATAGATATATACATATCATACCTACTTAACAATAAATATACGTACAAACACGATATGTTTGTTTGTTCATTAACTTTCTTGAAATTATTTCACACATTAGCAAATGAGCCAATTCACATGTTGAACGAATGCTATGGGAATTTTATTCTATACGGAGATGCAAGGAACGCGTGGTTTAGTTCATTGTTTGAGGTCGCAGATTTCATTCCCAGTCTGACCAATTCAGATTTTTTACAAATAATTATTGCCCGCCACTTTGTACGCGTGGATTTTAGAAGTAAAAATAACTAAAAACTGCTATGGCACACGCACAAACGAAAAATTGTATTTAGCTTTATATATTTTTAAGTCATTTATATTATCTCGTTTTTTTTTATATCTATGTTGTAATTTGTGTGCTGTAAGTAAGTAATGCAACTAAATTATCTATCTATCTATCTAATAAAATATGGTCACTTCTAGATGACATATCACTATAATTCAAGCACAAAATATTTAGTTACAATTTCAGAAATACAACTGTAAAAACTGCATTCAATTACAGACAGACAAAATTTCTAAAAAAATGTAATATCTAGACTTCTTAAGACCTCTTATATTAACAATTTTCTAATTATGCATATATTTCTTCTATGCATAGATTTTTAATTACAGTTTTCTTTTATGAAGATTGTCTCGGTGTTATTATTCTAAAAAACTAGAGGTGAAAAATTAACTAACAAAAATATAAAAAAAATCTGTTTCAATTTGAAAACATCATTTGTTTTTATTTCTATTTCCATATCGAATTACTCTACAAATTGTTTCTCAGCCAGAGTATATTACATAATAATTCGTATAAAAATCTAATTTACATTCTAATCATACATTAATAATCTTGGCGGATATATTTTTTTTTAATGAAACAACTTCTTAGTATGTGGTTTGTTTCCACTATGTTTTTTTTTAATATTTCCTAATTTATATTGTCTGTTGAAACTATACAATTCATAGTTATTTTTGCTAGATTTTTTATCACGTTTTATATATTTAACCACAAAACCTATTAACTGTTTTTATGTATATAAGCATTTTATAATTATTAATTTAAATAAACTTCTATCAAAAATTAAAAATATAAAAAAAATTTAAAACTACAGACAGCTTACAGAACTACGCCTATAACTGTAAGTATATTTATTTACTCCGTAAGGAACGTAGCGTGAAGATAAATATACTATTTATATCTATAGCAAACGTTTAATGTTATCAAGTCATCAGATGATCTATCATCTTGTTTACAATTAGAGAAAAAATGCCCAAATAAACATCATAATTATCTAATATTGCATGTACTAAGATTTATTTATTTATTCATTAGTACAAATATGTGTACATGGCGGACTTAATGCTAAAAGCATTCTCTCCCAGTCAACCATAGGGAAGTGTCAGATTCAAAGTAAATTATCAATTATGTTAAAGATATTTGAGTAATGAGAAGAGTTTTACGTTTATGGTATCAATTATTCTGCAAAATCACTGTAGCGAATAAATACAGCATTCTATTTCTGTCAGATATAAAGATAAGATTAAATAGTTGTAGCTACATATCTGTTTAGTTTTTCATTGACTTTTCTATTAGCGTTCACTATTATTACATTTATTTTAAGTACTCCAGAAAAAATAATAATATATATATATATATATATATATATATATAGTAGGTATATACAGGTAACTAGAAATATATTTCTAGGGATCCACATGTTCCGTACAATTTTTTGATTCCTCAATTGGAACTATATATCACAGTGTATAAAATACAGTCCATGATACTCTCTGATAATGTAGCTTTCTATAAGTAAAATATTTTTTTAAATCGGTTATATTTTAATTTATTTATTCATCATCATCATCTCAATCATTATCTGTCCACTGCTGAATATAGGCCTCTTCTATAGACTGCTATAAGCAATGAACCTGAACCACCTACATCCACTGATCCCTGTAATGCATTTAAGGTCATCATTCCATGTAGTGGCGGAATAACCTACACTGCGTTTACCCGTACGGGGTCGCTACTCAAGAACCTTTCTTTCCCATCGGTTTCCATTGCTAATGCTACGGATTATGTCCGTAACTTTGGTTCGTTTCAGTATATCCTTATTTCGGATTCTGTCATGCAAAGAAATTTCGAGCATAAGCCCTCTCCATAGAGCTGAGAATTTATTAAAAGATCATTCCTCTTTATAACATTAGACAAAAAAATACATTTTTTTTTATATATGTATATGTTGTAATAAAGAATAAACAAATAAATAATAGAGAATAGATAATTATATACCTGTCGAGATAAGAACGCAATTAACTATTCTAACATACTAATATATTATCTCTTACAAATGATTGTAAAAAAAAAAACAGTTGCGTGTATTCAATTGTGATATGCAATTATCACTACTTCAGTGACAATT